AATTAATCGCGATCCGTTCGAATATCATGATTTAAACAATTGTCGATTAAAGAGGCTGATTAAAAACGATACGATGGAATTACATATACGATGTATGTATTCATATATATGGTAGATGTACGATTATACTTTACATATAAAGCTGATGGAAATTATCCCCACCATTCCCCAATCTCAAAAACGATTTTTGTTCACGTGCGTCATTATTATCTATTTTTATCATATATACGTCTCCATTTTAATTTTCTCGAAATTTCGTGCCGGTCGAATTTCGGTTGTTCAGAACTGATGGACAAAGCGATTTCAAAAGATCTATATCGAACTATTTGAAACTTCTGTTAGCTAGAATAAATTTCCTTTATTGAACAACGAAATCGGTATAAAAATTGCACCATTTTTTCAAAATGGCGAAGTTTTTCCAAGGATTTCAAAGGATAACTTTATATATATAAATATGAATATACGAAATAGTATTGAAATATAAATATATAGAGAAGTGAAATAAAGATATGAGTGGTAGCTTAATAAGAAACGCTTTTCACAAAAACAATAATTAATCGTGTATACTTAAATATATATTTGTATCGACGCCAAATAACTTATCCGTAGTGAATTAAGTAATTAAGATATTATTATATTATTTGAAGGTATATGTTTATAAATGGTAAAAAAAAATTATATTATCCAATAAGCGCTATTATATCAGTTAAAGGTTGCAAATAGTAAAAAAAAAAATTATATTATTTAATCAAGGTATCTATTGTATCTTTATCAACAATATTTTATTCAAAAAATTTGTTAAAAAATGTTGCAATCGTTGTTATATTATATCTATATAAAAGAAAAAAGAAAAACTGAAAAAAAAAACGCGAAAAGAAGAAGCAAAAATCTATATATCATGACAAATTAACAATAAGAATTTCAATTTCAGAACCGTTGTTGTATAATAAAAAAGTATCAAAGTGAATCGGTTTAAACAAAGAGATCATAATATTTATAAAACTGATATTTTTTTATTACGAATATTTTATCATAACTTTTTTTCAATTTAAGAGCGTTTTCTATAACTATTTGATAAAATTACTTTTTTGTTAATAAGAATTATTATCATTTACAAAATATTTTATATGCAATTTATTGCATTCGTGGATTTGCACTTAATAAGAAGTAATGCTTAACAATAGAAACATCGGGGATTTTATTCAATATATTGTTAGAATTTAAAACGATCATTTCGATCATGTATAATTTTCTTGATTGTATATTTTTAACAAAAATTATTATTAACTATCTTTTCGAATCATATATAATATTTTTTTATTATTTTTTACAACCAATTGTCTATTTTTTACAAAATGTCTTATATGCACTAAATATGAAATATGAAAAAAATGAACGATCAATTATTGTATATATAATTTTTACAAGCTAATATAATTAATGTGAATTTTAATTTCAAATTTTGTATACATGCTTATATAATAGTTCAAATTTTAAATGATTATATAAAAAATTTATCTTAATAAAATATATAAATAAAATATTTTATTTTTTTTTTTTATGTTTTATCATATTTTAAATAAAATTGTGAAGAGAAAAAAACAGGGCACTAGCAGATGAATTTATAAATATATTCCGAGAGAAAAGATCTAAAGAATAAAAAAAAAAAAATGTTACCGAAAAATGCGTTTCTTCGATTCTACTTATTTATTTTTTCAATATTATTTATCTATTTATCCAAAATTATTTATTTCGTACAGTTTGCGAATCGATCTTTTGAAATCTATTTGTATGGATATCAATAATCGCAATTTTCCTGGCCAATATCCTACGAATATCTCGAGGAACCGTGAACTTCCGTTTGGATCGGAAATACGATGAAACGATCCCGTGTTATATTTGAAATTTCCCGTCGATAAGTATGCGTACACACTTAACATCGTAAACGATCGTACGTAAGTAGTTTCTTGTCTATCATGCAATAATTGATATAGAGTGATATAATAATTTTTTATATCAAAAGCGATTGTCACTGTTTTTCACGATTCTTTTTTATACTAACATAGATTGAAATAAGAAGTGTTAAATCGATATGGCCTACATTTTGAATAGTGTAAAGTTAATATACATCAACTAACCATCGCGATGGGATATATTTCTGATTGTGAATTCGATCGTAAACGGAGGCATCTTCATCGGGAATTTATTTTCCCTTTCTTTTTCTCGATCTAGGGAATTTTATGAAATCAAAGGCGCATGATCTTACGTTGAAAATTTCCCTAATATCATTAATACATATATCAATTAGTTATTAAAATCCATTTAACCTAGTTTTACGCCTGTTAATTATTATTATTATTATTATTATTATCATTATTATTATTATTATTATTATTATTATTATTATTATTATTATTATTATTATTATGATTATGGTTATCGTTAATAATCATTATTGATTTATTACTATTACGATATTATTCTTATTACTATTATTCCTATTATTATGATTATTGTTACTCGTTATTATCACGGTCGAATTAAAAAAATAAATAAATAAATAAAAATAAAAATAATATGCTCTATACTCGGTATCTGTGTCGAAAACACCTATGCATATACATATTAATGGTTATCGCTATACTATATGATTAAACTCCGCTACAATAAGGAACACCAACACTATTACTTCTCCCTCGTCCCATCGATTATGAAAAAGTAAATGACGTCGTTCGATAGACCCATACATCCACGAGTTATTCGAATATTGTTATGAAACATTGTTAAAAACATCCATATTTGTCGAAATTTCGCCTAATGTGAATGACGTCGATCCCATGAATTTTGTACGTATCTAGTTTCATTTTTTCAACAAGCAAAAAAAAAAAAAAAAAGAAAATAAAAAAAAACCGAATATACGAATTTTTTAGAAAATTGACAGATAGAGAGAAAGAGCGGGAGAGAGTGAGAATGAGAGAAAGAGAGAGAGAATAAAGGAAAGAGAGATAATAATCGATTCTTGCATTGTGCATAACGAACGTATGCGTTCATATGTGAGACAATGAATAAGATTGATGAAACACATTGTATTCATCCCTTGATACATACCTATTTATTTGTACATTATTTTACCGAATAAACGTGCATCTTTTGCATCCTTAAATTTAAATTTAATATATCTTATTTATCCTTAATATATGCTGAATCAATTTTTTTTTTTGTAAAAATTAAAAAGTAAATATGGTTAAAAAATTATATTTAGGTATTTATTTAGATATAAATTAATGTAAAAAGTTTTTTAATATATTATAAAAAATATAAAAAAATTTGTATATATAAATATAAAAAATATTTTATAAAATTAATAAAAATAATGAAATTTATTATTTTCTTTATAGAAAAAATTAAGAAACTTAATAGTTAGAAATAAAAGCTATAAAATGAAGATTTCATTTCATTGCATCTTAGTATGAATAAAAGAATTATAGCTTATGAAAAGTTAAAAATAAATAAAATGAAAATTTGTATCAATCGAAAGTTTTTTTATCAAAAAAATTTTGTTTTCGATTATTTATTTCACTTTTTTAAAAAATAATGAATATAAAAAAGTAGTTAAATGAAATAATCAACAATAAACAATTTACAAATTTTAATGTAAAAACAAAATTAAAAGATAGTATTTTGAAATATTCAAAAACTTTTTAAATATTCATTAATCATTTGTCAGCAATCATTTTTTTTATTAAATTCACATTTAAGTTTATCAAAATTTTTTAATATTTTTGTTTTTTTTAGATTCCTAAAAATTCTTCTGAATATCTTTAAAATATCGTCTAATAATTTTTATTTTTAATAATTTAATCAAAAAATATTCCATATGTTTTATGCTTCACTTCATTATGAAACAGAGAAATCAAATAATTTTGATTTTCGAAAATTATTATGATTATTTTCGAAAAGAATAAAAAAATTTGGCGGGAAAAAGATATATTTACAGATAATATGTATTGTATTCACAGATAATTTCTTTTTTAATAACGATAATAATAATAATAAATCTAAAACGATAATTAATATAATTCAAGACACATATCAGTTGAATTTTATTAAAAAAGAAAATAATCATTAAATCACAGATTGATCTGCTATAAATATTCGATCGATTAATTTCCAGTAATTAATAAACGTAAAAAAATTATCGTGTTCGATATGATAATGTGATATTCCAAAATCAAGTTAAGAAAGATTGAAAATCGTATCAAAAAATAATCAATCATTTCATAGACGCTATTATATATTATATATATATATATATTATTTTTTGTACGTTTTTACAGAAATTGGAAAAATTCAGAATTATTTAAGATCAATTTTTATGTTATCGTACTTATTATAATATTAAGAAAATAGGTAAATTCGCATTTTATCTTACAATTTCTTATATATTTGATAGTATTAGTATAGTATAATTAAAAGATAAATTTAATCTTTGTTTTATATTTATTTAATCTTTCATTAAAAAAGAAAAAAGAAAAAAGAAATTGAATATTCGAATTTGATATTCAATATTATTTAATTAAATACAAATTACGATATTTAATTTGATGTAACTATTTCATCTATTTCTACTCTCGAGTTTCTAAATTTATTTCGTAAAAATATCTTGAGTAAAAATATCTGCGTCTTCATATATAAATAAATTCAAAGTAAAAAGAGTGGTGGAAATTGATTAAAAATTTCTCCCACCAATTAAGTTTTATGACAATTCATTATAAATACGAGAAAAAAAATATCAAGTTTTCGTTTGTCATGGAATTTATTTAATAATGATAAGATTAACTTATTTATCGTATAATTTTGCAATTAACTTTGATTACGTATGTGATAATTTAATTTTTATTAATTAATCTTATTATCACTTATCGATTCCTATAAATTATCAAAAAAATAAATAAATTATATATAGTGTATTTAATCCGCAAACAAAGAAACAAATAAATTTCGACTATTTTATTTTATTAAATATTATACAATATAATATAGAAATACAGGATAAAGAATAGTGTTTCTGACACTATGCGTGACACAATGTATGGAAAAGTGATCGTTCTTGGATTTTTACTATTCCAAATTTCGTGTCAGGTAAAGTTGAAATTTTATTTATACAATATATATATTTTAAAAAAGTATACATATTATATAATATACATAATATGTATATATAGTATGTATAGGATATAAATTAATTTTTATATCTTTAATTTGAAACGAAATGAACTATTAGACATTGTATAATTTTTATTTTAATATAAAGACTACTTCATTAAATATTAGAAAACATAAAATCATTCAAATATTTATTTTTGATTTTTCTTCGTAAAAATGATTTTGTGTAATCGATCAAAATCATTTTTTTTCTTCTTTTGATAAATATAAAAATTATATATTATTCGATATTATTATTATAAAACAGATATCTGGAGAGAAATTGTCTGATTATTATACTGCAGCTGTGGTAGAATATTCACCCATTTTTATCAAAGATGACATAAAATTGACTTATGAGAAGAACACAGATGAATATATTAATTATATAGAACGAGCAAGTAAACAGGTGAGTTCGATATATCGTTAATTATAATTTTTATGATGGTAATGTAAATAGTATAAATAATGTAAGTCCATTTTTAAGAGTCTATATTTTAAAGGTAACTAATAATTTTCAACTATATTTATGCATTTCTATAATTACATATATTATTATTAAGTATTAGGTTAGGTTATATTTTTACGATATCTTTGGAAAGTTGTTATAAAAATTAATATGAATTTATAATAATAAAGTAAATAATAATTTATTCAATTAATTAAGATGGAATGAAATAATATATAATAAAGATAGACTCTCATTTCATTTGTTACGAATTTAAGTTGTTTATAATTTAATGAATAGAATTACACTTACTTGAATTAATAAAGAAACAAATTGTTCGGATGAGAGAATTTTCGAATAATGTAACACAGATGTAACACATTTTTTTAAATTAATTATTTTATATATTGAAGAAAATAATATTCATATTTATAATGAAAATTAAATATTTTATTTTCACCATGTCAAATTTTTTTGATACAAGGGAATGTACACTTTGTAAATTTTCACTTTTCACTTTTTTTTTAATATTATATAGATACTTTTACCAATTCTATAATTTTAATTAATTATAAAGAAAAAAATGTCTAGATAAATATTAAGTGCAAATAATTCTCCTTTTTTTCTACGATCATAACGTCTGACTGAATTCAAATTATTTCCTATTTGTGGTGCCATCTGAAAAAGCATTCTTTTGTTTTTAAAAAGAGTCGTGACGAGCGCTCTAAGAGTTTCCAGTCCTATGCAACAATTTCAAGCAATATGGCGTGCGAGAAGTATCATTTGCGTTACTGTTTACTTTTTGCATTTTAGCTTAGAAAATTAGTTATTGAAGCTACTAAAATGATTTGTGCGGGAGAGAATACTGTATCTTACAGAACATGCAAAAAGTCGTACCAAAGATTTAAAGCCACAAATTTTAATTTGGAAGACGATGATCGTTTAGATGCATCGAGAAAATTTGATGATAGTGAGTTAGAAGAATTACTTAAATCCGATCTAGATGCAAGAAGAATTGGCAGAAAGATTAAGAATCACCAAACAAGTACTATTTATCCGACTAAAACAATTGGGTAATCTTGTATTTGATTTATGTAATAAAATCTTGAATTTGGAAAATAAAGGAGAAAAAACTTATTTGCACCTAATAGTATCCAGATTTTAATGAATAATGGAGATTCTATTATAATTCAATTAATATTTTTCCATTGTGTTTGTTTTTTTACCTTTAAAATCAATCCTCTAAAGATAATATAAAATAATTAATAACTATTTATATTTAAAATAAAAAATTGTACAGAATGCCGACATCATTGTTTTTCCGGAAGCTGGATTGACATCGATGAGTATGCCTATCTTTCACAAATACAATGACTGGACAACAGTAGTTCCTTCTTCTCAAGACAACTATATACCTTGTACAGAATCTAGAATCAATGGCATCATCGAAGTAAATATTTCCATTCGACGAATTATTACACATTTTTACTAATAACTCTATATTCGTCCAATTTTCATCCACTGTTCTTTTACTATTTATTCGTAGACAGTAAAAAGATTGTCATGCGCTGCAAGAGATAATCGTATATACGTAGTGATAAACGTTGGCGAGAAGCGATTCGATGAAAAGAATGGCACATGGCATTATCATAATACCAATATCATATTTGATCGAATTGGAAAAATTATTGCCAGGTATATACATATATTTTTGCGATCACTGAAAAACAATTCTCTTATTCTTTTCAAATATTGTCCTTCTAAATAGGTATCGTAAAGTGCATCTCACTCTGGAAGGAAAATTCGAAAGTTCGGTACCACCTGATCTCGTTACTTTCGACACTGATTTTGGAGTAAGATTCGGTGTCATTATATGTTTCGATATGCTCTTTAAGGAACCTGCTTTAAATTTGACGAGAATAGAAGGTGTTTCAAATATCGTGTATCCTACTGCCTGGTTTTCGGAAGTGCCATTTATAACCGGTAATTTATCATTTTATGTTGTTATTTTATTATTATTTTATATTATCATATTTTGTAAACTCGATTGATTTTTTCGTTTGCAATTATTTTTTTCAGCTATTCAATATCATTCTGGATGGGCTTATAGCGAAAATGTAAATGTACTATCGGCTGGATATAATAAACCGGAATTCGGAAGCATAGGAAGCGGTATTTATTCAGGTATTGATATGTTATATTATATTTTTCATTTTTATCTTAAATATTTGTCCTTGACTTTTAATTTTATCTATTAGTATTATATTGTTTTTATAAAACTTATTTCTTCTGAAGATTTTTATTATTAGATTATAAATAGATCCAAAAATTGATCATAAACTTAACATTTGAAACTTCTGTGAACTAAGAAAACAATTTTTTTGAATTGTTGTAATATATGAAAATAAATTCTTCATAGTATGTTATAAACTAAGTACAAAAATGTAAAAGCAAACGACAAATTATATAAATTATAAATTTATTATATAGATTTTATTATATAGATTTTAGATATTATATAGATAGAATTTATTATATAGATTTTGGATTATTTTGTGGAATAAAATTTTCTTTTAACAGAAAACAATGTCTTTTATTAATAAATCAATAAATTATATGTTTTATCACAAAGTAAAAATTTTTTATATATTAACTTTAAATTTGGAAAATTCAAAAGTCGAAATAATATTATAATATTTATAATCATTTTCTTCTTTTAATTTCTAAAGTTATTAAATCATCCATTAATTTTTCAAATTTTTATTAGGTCGTAACGGAATAATCAACGTGACCATGTCTACAAATCCAAAGGAGCGGCTTTTAGTCTCTCGAGTGCCAAAAACGCCTAGAAAAATTGAAACACGAGAAAGGAGACACGTTACAAATCAATTTTACTCGAAAAGAAATCTGCGTGCATCGAACATCGATTTGATAAAATTAAAGCACGATCACGTTACATGGTTCAATTCTGTTCTGGTTAATAATTCCATGGACAAAACTATCTGTTATGGTAACTTCTGTTGCGACTTTCTGATTCGTACTGATACTATCGATCCATCCACTTATTATCACGCAGTTGTGTACGATGGTATTCATGTGTTCGAGAAGATATTGGACGCTGGTGTCCGTTTATGCGCCGTGATTCAATGTTCCAATCAGTCACTCCATTCTTGCACTTCCGTCGATCCGTCTGATACTACATTTTCAACTTTGAAGATAACAGCGAGATTCAACGATTATTCGAAAATTTTGGTAACACCGACCGTGATCGATTCCTCTCTTATTCCCTTCCAGCATTGGTCGTACGATGAACAGACGTGTGGAGAAAAAACGAGTGTCACAATCGCTTTGGAAAAGGAGATGAAAAATGTGATTAACTTCGGTATATATTCCAGGAACTTCCAAAGAGATAAATATTATGAATAATCTTAGGAATCGATAGAACTTTATAAAATTGTCACGACTTTTTTGTAAAAATAAAATTTTAATTTTGTGAAAATATTTGTGCTAAGAAAATAGGAATATTTTCTTCTTTTTTATTGTGTTTTTTTTCTTTTTGTATTGCAACGGATATTTAGATAAATTATTATCAATTTTTTTAGAAATTTTCGAAATTCGAAATTTTTGAAATCTAAAATAATTATCTTTTCTCGATATTCTGAATTTATATTTATACGCGCATCACAATTTCTAATACGTAAATGATATTGAAAATAAATTAATTAATTTTCTATTAAAAAATATTGCATCTCGAAGTTAAAAAATTAGACAATTTTCTCTGTAAATTAATAAATTTTAGTGTAAAATTCTTTTAAATTAATTATTTATGATTACAAACATTTGATTGCAAGCTACAATTGAATAATAAACAATTGTAATCGGAAGGAATGCGGATCTGATTGATTAATTTTGATAAAGACTCAATTCATAACAATAGGTAAATATATTAATCGAAAATGTTACATCAGATAATATTATATCAATTGTATCATTATATCATTATATCAATAAATAAACAATGAAAGGAAATACTCTCTTTAATTTTATGCTCTCTAATCAATTTGCTCCAACTAATCAATTTATCTTCTTTGCATTATATTTATTTATAAATGGAAAATCAGAAAAATGATAAGTATTGTGATTTGTTGAAACATTTGATCGTTGATTTAAGTCGAAATTTTCAAATTTCCTCCCAAAATACTATTATTATGAAAAAATATTTATTATTCATCGTGGAATTTATATATATAATTTATTCATCGTTTCTTTTATAACAGTAAATTATAAGCTTAATTATATTGTAAGCTTTTAGAACGAGAAGTTATTTGTTTATACTTACATATTATATTGATTTTTATTTTATTTAAATTTGAGATATTTCTTAAAATTATAAAATTATTTTTTATAATTAATCAGTCTGAATTTCCACATAATTTATCTACACGTGTATAATATATTGAAGATAAAACTCATCAAATGAATTATTCATAACTGACAAGAAAAGAAACATTTATGTGGTGATATACAATGCTATATATTTTATATAGATGTGACACTTTCATATTATTTTCATTCTATGAAGAATCAACCAACTTATCAGTTGTCGATAATACAGAATAATATATTTGCTAAATAATTAAAGAAGGTTCAATTCTAGAGATCAAAATCAACATAGGTATATTTATCTCCACTGTTCTTGTTCTATCTTTTCTTTGTTTTTCTAAAAATTTGTTGTTTGTAAGTAATTCTCAACTGATATTTTTGTATATATCTTTTTTTATATGGTAGTGTTAGATTAACTATACATATATAACTATACATGCCTGAAAAATGTAGTTTTGTAACGAGTTTTACTATCGATCAATGCATACATCTGATATTTCAAAAAATGATGGATCTGGCACTGTACAACGACCAAAAAGCGAATGTATGTAACAAAAAACAACTATTAATCATTATTTTTTTGCCAAAGAAATGGTAAATTTTATATTTTATTATTTTTTTTTATTTCGATCTTTGTCGACGTCTTATGCATCTATTATCAATAGATAATAAATCTTTTATTTTGATATAAATAGACGTTAGTAGAAAATTATTATATTGTATTATCACACCGGATAAAAAAGATTGATAATCATCTTAAAATTAAAAAAAACGATAATAAATATATTGATTAGTTATATAATCTGTAAAACATTTATTGCGATATATATAATAAAGAATATTATATATTTGATTGTAATAAAAATGAAGACTTCACTTTGTGTAATTTTTCGAAATGCAAAGTAAAAATTGAATCCGTGAAGAAACTAAAATAAATTTAATATTATTAATTTTCATTAGTGTGAACAATGGAAATCACTATGTTTGGAAAATTGAGCATACTTGGATACCTGTTAATTCTTGCACAACTTTCGTATCAGGTAAAATTGAGATTTGAATAAAATAAAGTGTAGTCAAGATTGGAAAAAAATAAATTAAAATAATAAACTGAAATATTTCTATAAATAAATACTATTTAAAAATATAAGAATTTTATTTAATGTCTAAATATGCGAATAAATATTATTTAATATTTATATTCGATTTAATATATTTAAAATATTTATTTTCTATATTTAATTAAAAAATATTTTATTTTCTATTTCTTATTTCTTAAATTGAACTGATATAATATAATAATATATTATAGTATAATATTATATAATATATTATACTTAATAATATTAAAGTTAAAAATTGTTTGTTTGAAATAATACTATTATTTGAATTTTTTTTCAAAGTAATATTTATATATATAAATTAAGACAAATATATATAGTTAAAATATGTATATTATTTCTTTATAACTAAAATTTGTTTCTATTTTAAAATTCTATTTTTTCCAATTTTGAATATATTATATATATTATATATTATAACAATAGAATTATATTATATATAATTATATTATATTATATTATATTAACAATAGAAATACATTACAATTTCAATTATATGCATATAACTACATATCATTCATTTGCTGCAATAGTGACATAATACAAAAAAATTATAACTTTAAAGAAAACAAATCTGAATATTTTCACTTCTTATAAAAACTTATAATTAAAATTCTTATAATTAAAATTCCAAATATCAAATTCAATATTTGAAAACTCTATTCATAATAGTACAAAAAAAAAAGATTTTCTACATGAATAATTAAATTACAAATTTTTTGATTATGTTTGTTGTTGTAACAAATAAGCAATATATCAATAGATAATAAGCAATATAATAAGATTTCGATTTTAAACGAAAGTTTTTATATCTTATAAAAATCATACATTAATTCATATTATTCATTTGAACATAACAGGTGCCTATAAATGACTCGTCTGATTATTATATCGCAGCCGTGGTGGAATATTCGAGCGTCTATGTCAAGAATGATGCCAAATCAACTTTGATGAAAAATGCAGAAGTATTTGCTAATTACATAGAACAAGCGAGTAAACAAGTGAGTTCGATCGATTGCTATTGCTATAATTTTTATAATAAATCTAATTAATAAATTTATTATATATATTTAATAAATTTATAATGAATTTAAAAAAGTAATTGTATTTCCATAAAATTAAATATCTATACAAATTGATTATATAATACAAATTATAACAATATCCAATTAATTAATCACATTTTCTATTCTCAGATTAAATAATAAACTAAATTAAAATAAATTTATAAATGCAGAAAGAATCTCGATTAATACATTCAATCAAAAATTGTAAGAGGATTTAAAACAATTGCAAAACGATAAGAAATGCAAAGAAATTAAAAATTGTGCGTATCAAAAACTCGAATATGCAAAACTGGATATTTAAGATTCTTTTTTGAAAAAAGATATAACGCAACCGTATGTCATCTATCCTATGATAGAAAATCCTCGTGACACGTACATTCATGTCATCCACTATATGATAGAAAATTTTTATGATACGTACATTCATATCATTCGTATTAAATTTATTAAACAGGTTTTATACTTGTAATTGTTAAATTTAAATTAAATCTGAATATTTGGATATATTCATTAAATGAATATCCAAATGCTTAGATTCATATTCATATTTATATCCATATTTATATTAAATATCCATTTAATATAGATCTAATAAAGATAAAAGATGTATTTAAAATAATGATTATTTTCAGAAATAAACAATTATTTATATATGATTAAATTTCTTAAATGATCATTTTAGAATGCCGACATCATCGTTTTTCCGGAATACGCATTGACATCGATCTTCATGCCTGTTAATGCAGATCCGTTTATCTGGTCAACAGTAGTTCCTTCCTCTCTCGAAGAATATGTACCTTGCATAGAATCTAGAATTAGCGGCATTCAGGAAGTAAATATTCATTTATTTTTAGTGATTTAATTCTTAGATGAGTGGATAAATTATAGAATAAGTATAATAATTTAAGATAAATAAAGTAAATAGTTACTCGCATGTATTTTAATGAATTTTTATATATTAAATAAAAATTCGATACTCATGTCACTTTTTATATTCAATTTTTATTATATTTTGTAGGCAATAAAGAGAGTTTCATGTGCTGCAAGGGATAATCGTATATACGTAGTGATAAATCTTATTGAAAAGCAATTCAATAGAAAAAATGGCACATGGCATTATCACAATACCAATATCGTGTTCGATCGAACTGGAAAAATTATTGCCAGGTAAATATATATATATATTCGCAATTAGAATGAAAACAATTTCTTTATTTTTATTCATGTAAACAGGTATCGCAAAACAAATCTTTATTTGGAAGGAAATTTGGAAAGTCCGGTGCCACCAGATCTTGTTACTTTCGACACTGATTTTGGAGTAAAATTCGGTGTCATTATATGTTTCGATATGCTATTCAAAGAACCTGCTTTAAATTTAACAAGAATAGAAGGCGTTTCAAATATCGTATATTCCACTGCCTGGTTATCATCAGTGCCATTTTTAATTGGTACATTTATTTTTCCGTCATATGTTATTTTCCTTAAACTTGGTCAATTATCATTTTTCATTTGTAATCGTTCCTTTTAGCTGTTCAATATCAATACGGATGGGCATATGCTGAAAATGTGAATCTATTAGCTGCTGGATATAATAAACCAGAATTCTCGTTCTTGGGAAGCGGTATTTATTCAGGTAATATATAATTATATACAAGTTATTCAAATATTCATAAAAAACTTTTAGATTTCAAAACTAAAACAAACGCAAAAATTGATATACAAAAATATCTGTTGAAACTTATTTATCAAGTCCAAAATTATTAATAATTTTATTATTATAAGCTGATTGTGGATATTATGTATTTATGCAAAATTTAAATATATAAAAATCTGATAATATAACACATGATATAGAAAAAGATATAAAATATCAAAAAATCCAAAAATATAGTATGCATTATAATATTTCATAAATAAAATAAATCTTTATTTAAACTCTATTTTTTATATTTATAAATATAAAATTTATTAAACTATTTATTAAAGTTTGATTTTGCATAAAAATCTGTAATCTAATTATGCTATAAGCAATATTGATTGTCATTCGTTTTAATTTTTATCTTTTGAAGGTCGTAATGGAATACTCAATACAACCATGTCTAGCAATCCCAAAAATCGACTTCTAATTTCTCGACTTCCAAAAACGCCCAGAAAAACCAAATCAAAATGGTTGAAGAAAATGAAAATAATGGAGAAAAAAACTATACATGACGAAACATTTGATTTTCCAGTAACAGAAGATATTGATTCGATATTAATATCGCATGATAATATTACATGGTTCAATTCTGTCCTGCTCAACGATTCGATGACCAGAAATATTTGTTATGACGATTTCTGTTGCGACTTTGTGATTCGAACGAAGACTGTCGATCCATCGACTTACTATCGTGCAGTGGTTTACATGGGTATACGACAATTCGACATCGTGGTAGACGCTAATGTTCGTCATTGTGCCGTGATTCAATGTTCCAATGAATCATTAGCATCCTGCTATTCTATTAATACGTCAGAAACTACATTCTCCACTTTGAGTGTGACAGCAAGATTCGATGATTATCAAGATATTCAGGTATTGCCCAGTCTACTTAATTCTTCTCTTCTTCCCTTTGAACAATGGTCATTCGATGAACAGACATTTGGAAAGCAAACGAAGGTAATCATTACTTTGAATGAGCCAACAAAAAATATTCTTACTTTTGGTTTGTATGCTAGGATTTTTTCTAAAGATATAAAACACTAAGTTGAATTGTAACTGTATGAAATCAATGTAATTTTTCAATAAAAATGACATGTAATTTTATATTGTTACCTTGATGAAAAATATATTTTCATAAAGTAATAAGATAAAAAAGTTTCTGTTTCTTTATAAAATATTATGATAAAAGCATCTGAATGAAATAAAAATTATACTTGCATATACAATAGCTCTATAATGAAAACTTGAAAATTTTTAATTAAATGTCAATAAATTTTATAATGAAATTTTATTTTAAGAAAAAATAAAATCAATCCTCAATTTTTTTTAAATATAACTTTTTAATTAAAGCAAATAAAGCAAAATTCTAAATTATAAAATTCAAAAGTGAATTGTAAAAATTGTATTCAAAATATGAAAAATAGAAATTAGAGATTGATTCTAAAAAAAAACTTGGCATCGACGAATTTTACATATATATTTTCATTAAAATCGGAATTTTCAGTTAGATGAATTTATATATATTATATTGAAAAATAGTGTTCAAATACTTTCATGAACTATTAATTTTTAAAAATTACTATATATGGATGTTCTTATAAAAGATAACGCGTGGTATTAATTTTTTTTTTATTGTCTTTTTTTTAACATAGTGCACAATAAATAACGTTATACATAACGCTATATATAATAACATTATATATATTATACAGACATATACATTATGTTATTATATATATTATAATTAATCTGTCACAGAATAATCAATTTTTAAAAAGACAGATTAATTATATCATAAACAGTGTTGCAGTATAAATAAATACATTCACAGTGAAAGGACAGCGATAGTTGAATAATATTAATGAATTTACATTAAACATTTTTCATATCGATATTGCATCGACAGATTAAATATTTAATTTGATAATTTAAAATATATATGGATAATAGTGAAGAATTTCACGAAATATATAGTAGGATTAATAATCAATAGTCGATAAATATATCGACGATACGTCGACATAGGCATGTCATCGAGAAAAGTCATAAGTTGAATACGTGTGGGTATGTAATAACATTTGGTACTCCTTGTAATACTTCTCATTAATTTTTTAATACGCATCACAGATATGTCGTTGTTTATAGAAAACAAAAACAGGATAACATTACAAACTTATTCGTTCCAATTAACATTAAATTAAATTAAATTAAGTAAATTTGAAGTATAACTTCAAATTTTCAATCAATTAAATTTGTTTGTATTACAAAACAAAATTTAAAGGATTAAGAATCATAATGATGTAAGTCAATCAATGAAAATGGAACTATGTTACAATTTTACATTTTTTATATAAATTATCTCAATTATCTTAATCTCATATTAGTTACGAACTAAAGCTATTCCAATATTAAATAGAGAATGTGAAAAGAAAATTATTTTTTTCTTAAATATTTATTTGTACATACATTTATATTTCTCAAAATAATTTCTACATGACTTATATCACTATAATTCTCAGCTCTCTATTTATCAAATTTATCCTTATTATAAAAAAAAAATCATGTATAAATATATGCAAATTAAAAACAAAATGTATTTACTATCAAATAAAAGGATAAATTTCAACTCTATAATTTCTAACATTTCTAAATTATGTATTTGTATATACTTTAGGCTGTTTACAGAACATTGAAATCGATTCAAAACATTCGATATGTCAAGTAGCAAAATTTGTCTATACGAATATCAATATTTTTTTTATTCGCAATTACCAATGACTTGGAGATCATAATTGATTAAGAATAAATGGCGAGATAACCTCGATTTCATGTTCTGTTGTTTAACTCCCAAGAATTTAATATTATGAAGGTAATTGTTTACATTCGACGTTCAACAATGTCAATGAAGGTGTATTGTACAATAACATATGTATAACATTGCTAACTACGATTATACATGGATATATTATAAACACGATATAAGGGAAATTGATAATCACAAAAATATAATTAAATATTGTGTAGAACTTCCAGGCTGAACTATGATCATAACACCAACAATTTTTATTAACAATTATGATGACTTTTATGCAAAGTTGTACAATAAACATTAAACTGATAATTGTGCGTAATTATGATATATTTTACAAATGTTCATCCGTTTTTTTATTTTCAAATTATTAAATATTAATATTTTGAACATGTCGATTTTTAACAAAAAAATATTATAGAAAAAACTTACTAGATAGATACTTTTCAAATTTATGGCCCTGAATTTTTTGTGACAATGATTAAAATAAAAAATTAATATGATATTCATAATAATTTCATAAATAAATTTAAGAAAAACAAATAGTATGATTAACATTTTTGTTGATTGATATAATCTACTATTAGTTGACATAATTTACTTAAAAATTTGATACACTTAGCGCGTGCTAGTTTTTTTTTTTTCATAAAAAATTCATTTAACTTTTCGAAATACTAAAAGTTTATAGCAAGAGCCTAAAATAAACTTTCGTTAAAAATTTTAACAAGTATAAGGCGTGATTGTTAGAGAAATATTTATCATTGAACACATTCATAGAATATACAATTTATGGAACATTGTTACAAATTTTATAAGCAATTTAAAATTAAAAATGTTTTAATATTTTTCTATCTGCATTCATTTCATTATTTTAAATAAATTAAAACGTTATAAGCTATAACGTTCTATCTATGTACATAAATCAAACATTTAATACATATGAAATAAAAAATTTTACAATATTACTAAAACTTAATTATTTTTAAAAAAATAAGTAAAAGATGTGTTTATAGTAAACCTTTAACAATCGTCATTATAATAATGTATAATAATATAGCATTTAATTATATTTAGACATTTGATAGCTGTTTGATCAGCTATTGTTTTCTTACTTTTATCTCATAACAAGAGTCATTATATCTTTTGATCAACAAATTTCTATTGAAATACAAAAACACATATACTTTAAAAATATACATATATGTGTATATATATAACACGTAATTCTTAAGAATAAAGCCCAAAACTGCTAAGTAATAACGTTAGCTACATTTAATTTTTTTATTTAAACTCCTTACAAAAGGAGTTTATAATTCTGCTTTTTTGTTTTTTTATAGAAGAAATAGCAACTGATTGTTTGATGGCCAACATTTTTAATATGTTTGCAATTGATTGCAAAACTTCAACAAGTTATAATATTGAGACAGGATTAAGAAATTCATTATAATAAATTAATCTTCAAATTTATTATTTGGCACTAGAGAACAAAAAAGTCAAAATTTGTATTATTTCATTAATGTATTTATATTTCTTACTTTTTTTAAAATTTCTAATCCAGTCTCAGATGAACTTTAAATATTAAGGTTTTTATACGTTTTATACAGATAGTGTACAATACATACATATACGTATAAAAACCTCATATAAATGTTGATCGAACGAAAGCACATGCTATTACTTAACTATGTGGAATGTACTACTAAATTTCTAATCAACTACTAATACATAGAATCTTAACATTATCGATAAGATATTTTATACGTCCTTAAAACACAGTTAAAAGAATTTGCAGTTTTATAGAATTAATAAAACTGCGAATACTATAGGTCTACAATAAATCGTTCATAGATTTACTATAGAACTTCAGCGCCTTATGTAAAAAATATGTGTTATATTCGCGTGTTTCAAACATAAAAATCTCTTGGTCGATGAATGTTAATCTTCTTTATATGTGATATAATTATAATCGCAGCCTGAAATAAAACTTTCAGAAAATACACGGACAATAGATATGTGGCCAAGTATGGTCGTCATTAAGAATGTAGATATATCATGTACTTTGGTAATTATATGTTTAAATATCTTGCCTGTTTTGTACTTGGATCACTGCATCACAATAATGCAGTAAAACTGATGAGATTTATGATTCTTTGAGCTTCTTTTTCGCAATTATCGTAAAACTTAAAAAAGGAACTTTAAAATTTTAAATTAAAAATCGTATAAGTACACAGTGTTTAAAACTCAATTAATTATATAAACAAAAAAAAAGACATTAAAAATATTTTCTACAAGATGCAAAAAACTTCTTAATAAGTTAAATGATAACTTATTTTATCGTCAATATCGAATTATTATTTAATATTGGTAATTAAGTATGCAAGATTTACTAGAAAATGTCACAATATATAACTTAAATTTTATTTTTATATCTAAATACTTTTCAAGAAATACTTTTCAAGAAATACTTTTTTGGTACAAAACTTGCATTAAAGAACTAAATAATAATTCATTTTATAAAAAAATAATGGTAAAACATCTTCCATTAAATTTTTTATATGACAATGATACTTGAACATATGTAAAAGAATAAAAGGACGTTTGATCAGTACATCAATCGTTGATAGAATTAACAAATCCGTGCGTTTTCATTGTACTATAATAGTACATTCTTCTCTTAACAAGATCCATAATGATTTTTCTTAGCAATTCCTGTATTTGATATGTCTTGAATTTAATCATAGTTTTCCGATTCCTGTTGTACCAATTTAAACCGACGTGGACTCTTGACACACATCGATCCATGACCTTCTAAGGAGAGGCGGCCTTTTCGTTGAAGATATCTCGTTATATAGCGTGCGATTAATTCTTGCGGTCTTATTTGCCATTCGTCCAGAACTTCCTTTGGTGCTAATACCTATAATAACAAATGTAAATTAAAAATAATATAATTGTTAAGAGATATTACTGTAATTGTTATATTACAATCTAGGTTTAAATATGATAAATATATTTAACATAAATATAAAAAATTTTTTAGAATTAAAAATATTAGTATGGATTATTTATAACAAAAGTAGAATAAATAGACTTTATATTGAGATATTTAAAGATTTATATTTATATTATATTTAATTTAAAAATATTGATAAATTCTATTATATTTATTCATGTTTCTATGAATTTAAATATATTTAAATTTATCATAAATGATTTAATATTTCTTTACTTGTTATTAACATGTTTTTATTTTTTTTTTTAATTAAATTAGATTATTAAACTAGAAAGATTTTTATATTTCATTTTTTGAATTTCTTTATTAGTACTTTTATTAAAATTTTTAATATTTCAAAGAAAAGATTTATTTTAAGTCACTTTTAAAATTATAAAATATTATTTACTAATAAATTTTCAAAATCATATACATAATTTAAAATATACACTATAAATTGTCTAAAATAATTTTTCCAATTTTTAAAATTTAGAATTAACTTTCTTTAGTTTTTACATAAATAATAAATAAATTCCTAAATCTATTACCAATAAACTTCATTAAAAATATATTCTCAAAAGGAAATATTTGTAAAAACATTTAATTATCTAAAATCAAACAAATTGAAATTTGTAAATTCATTAAAAACTAAAAAATATGTGATGTTTGAATTGATATATTTATATCTATAATTTATAAAATATAAAATCGGTTTTCACAACGTGAAAATACCTGATCTCCTTTGAATCGATCTATCAATGTTACACAAACAACAGCAGCTTTGATGCCCGCATGATGTGTGAGAGCAGCAAATGCGAGACTCTCCATTTCTATATTTATTACGCCAGCTTTATGCAGCTTGTTTAAGTATTCTATTTTTTCATTTTCCGTGAATTCGCAGAATGCACCGTCCATTCGGCCTTGTCCTTCGTAGAAGTCGTAAGTACACATCGTTTTACCGATTACAGTGTCATAAGGATTGTCACGATGTGCTAGTGTTTTCAAATCACGAGCCAGCTGTCTGTCTAATTTAGCAGGTCTTCTTACCATTTTACCAAGCACGGGCTAAAAAAAGCAGATAAATTAATTTATTATTTTACTAATTAAAATATATTATTGATAATATATTAAATTATATATTAAACGATTATTTCATATTTTATTAATATTTTTTAATTCTTTAATAAAGTATTTTTCAATATTTTTAATATTTTCAACAATTTAATATTTTCTTTTTAATATCACATATGATCATATTTTTTTTAATTCGGAAAAAATTATTTTAATCTAGGGATGATATTTTTAATGTACAGACTCTTGTAGATTTCGACAAAATTTATATTAGATTATTAAAACTAAAGAAGCTAGCTTATATTAATTAATTTCAATAAATTAAATGTATTCGAAAAATATAAAAAGATTTGATTCGTTCTTAATTCATCTTGGAAATTTATACATAGCAAAATATCAGTAGCACGAAAATAAATCGTACGAATCTTATGTCGTTCACGATGGATTAATAAGTTTATACGTATATTAATATTGTAATATATATAATATATCACCATTATTGAAATACATAATGTCGAAAAACGTGATTTTCTTAAAACAAAGTTTTCTTCCAGAAAATATGTTGCCACAAGAATAAGAATATGGAGTTTTTCTCAGAAGAATTTCTTACCAGTTCCAAATAAGACTTCAGCATTCCGTCGACTGCTTCTTCAGAAATGACGACAGTGCCACCTTCAAGGCCAATTCCTCCGCATGTACCAATCCTGAAGAATATTGGATCTTTCACCTTTGCATGGTACATCAGTTTAATCACTTCGTGAAGCAAAATTCCAACCGATGGTATGCCCATTCCATGCTAAACAGAAAAATATATTCTCTGCATTCCCCTTATGCCAATCAGATCAAGATATCTTCCTATCAAAAGATTTTCAAATCCTTTTAAATTTGACGTATCTGCTACGTGTATATATCGTGTAATATGCGTCTAGATTTCAAGATTAGAATCTTATTAAAAGATAATTTAATAAGATAATTTAAATCAAAGTTTGAATCATGTTAAAAAAATGTTATTCAATTAACACATGTATATGGATCCGAAATTAGCAACAATTTATATAGTAGGTCATCGTTCGTAACTGTTCTTAATACCTTTCTTGTACTCTCTCGCACTTCTATCTTTATCTTCATCTATCGCAAACTTAAATTGCTTGTAACTTAATAATAGGTCTTCATCAACATTTTTGCATACCAACTTTTGTGTTTGTTTTGGTCTCTAAACCGTCCAAAGATGTCTCGCGAATATTCTATACATATAAAGATTAAAAAAAGAACTTGAGGAACAATTCTTCCCTCTGAATTTTCCTTCTTTTTATTCGTCGTATGATAAACCATCGCAATTACTTTTCGCACCATTTGCAAAAAATGAACTGCATTACGATCATGCAATTTATTCTATATTTCTCGCATCATTCAACGATGATGTACACAAAGTATCGATAAAAAACAATTTATTCTATAGACGAATCGAGTGAAACATGGTGAAAGAAAAAAAGCGTATGATTAGCGTGGAATACTCGACTCCATATTTTTCCTTCGACTGGAATCTTGATTATAGTTTGATTATAGCTCGAGCATATATTATCTTATATGATATTGATCAATATTAATAAAATGAATCTATAATTCTTCTATTTTTTATTTATATCGATAACTAAAAATTTGATATTTAGTTGAAAGTTTTTTATTAATTTAAACTTCCTTCAAAAAACAAGATTTTTCTTTATTTCTCTAATCTTTTTAAGAGAAATGAATTTTTTAAGTAAATTCAAAACAAGATCAACAAATTATCTCTTTAAAATAATATATTGAATATAATATTTTATCTCTTATCCCTTAACATTGTGGAATATTATTTTAAATATTTTCAAATACAATATATGTTTCAACGAAAATAAAAATAAGGAAAATTTTAATGTTTATTCTTCTTGGATGAATTTGCTCGAGAATATTATTTTGAATTTAGAAGAGAACAATTTTCAACATCTTTCCAAACGTTTTTTCGACATAATTATATAAGCTAATTACACTCGAACCGATCTTCGAAATGCAATACTCGATTAAATTGAATCCGACTTAACCATGAGCAAATATCGCATGAGAATATTTCATTTGATTTCAATGAAAGTTTTCCAATTTCAACTACGCTTTCGTTTCGAAAGTGTAACGTTTAATTAAATCCAGGTTAAATAATATAAATACATGACATTTTGAAAAATAATTAATTCAAATTATAACGCGAGAAGGAAACGATGTATGTTTATAACATTTTGTAAATTATACAAGCTAAAATTAAATGGCATTTACATATTTCTACATTAAATCAATATCTTTAAACGTTTCGCACGAAATTTTACTCTTTTTTAAATTTATACAATAATTAGAAAATAATAGTAATAAAAGTAAAAAATCAGAAGATATTAATTGTTAACATTTGTTGACATTTTTAAGAGATTAAAAACGGAAATAATATTATATATACTTACGCTAATAGAAAGAACCGGTCCAACTTTATACATGGAATAACGATACGAATACTGGCTAATATCAAGAAGTGTTGTTCCAGCTGGAAGCTTATGACCTATTTCCTTCATTATGTAATTAGCGAATTGTTCCATACGCTTCGGCGTTCCTCCCATACACACAAACTGTAAAACAAAATATGTACAATAATTTAAATCGTATTTGTTTATTTAATAATTATATTTTATTCTAAAATAAAATATAATACAATAGTATTCCATTTACACAAATTTATCGAGGAATAAATATGAATGATTATCTAGTTTATGTAAAAGAATTTCACAAAGTACTTTTTGCTTAAATGTACATTAAATCAAATATTATAAGTTTAGGAACAATTTTGCGAGTACAACAACTGCTTGATGAATTAACTTTTACTTATTTTGTATCAGAGATTTTAAATCTATAATTTGAAATTTATAGATTTTTACTATTTTCTTTTTACATATCATCTAATAAACTTTTTAACTTGCGCTTCATTCAATTTTAAAAAATGTATTCTGAAAGATGATTGAAAACTTTTTGCTAGAAGTTATATTATATTATAAAAACGTTATGGACAAATATTCTTTGATAACAAAAGCATAATTATTATTTTAAAAATCGCTTATTGACGACAGCCGTGCAAAATCTCCATTGACAATAGCCATATTAAAAAGATTAAAGAAAATTTTATATTGTGTTTTGTTTGGTGAAATATGTTTCGTGAAACAGCATACATGAGTGAGTTGAGAAATCGTTTTCATCGTTAAATGAGTGAAACAAAACCAGAGCGAGACGCGTCTTTTGGTGTTCGTTACGGTGGAATTGCTCTTTTCTTAAATGGAACATTCGTACAATTCGTGAGTGAATATAGTTGGCGTGCGACATACGTACGAAATAATACCTCGAGGATTACCAACCCCCCGTGTAGTCGAGGAACGCGCACAGAAGTTTCGCCTATTGTTCTATTTAGGTCGTGAAACACTGTACTTTCTACTTTTAATGGCGAACTCCTCATTGATCTCTTTATGAATACACAATTTCGTTGATAACATGAAAGGAGCCGCCGCGATAAAAAAAAAGTATGTGTTTGTAAATCGTATGTTGATGACGTTCGTCCAAAGCAGATATTTAAGAATTAATTTAAAATTATTTTTTTTAAATGGAAAAAAAATCCACTTTTGAAATAATACTAATTATAATACTAATATATTTGTTCACACAAAATAAATTCATTTATCGTTTTCTACGATTACTTGTCATTTGATTTCGAGGAAATTAGTTGATAAATAAATAATGGTTAATAGCATCAAATATTATTAATATTATTAATAATCCAATCTCATTTAAAGAGCAAATTTACAATTAATAAATAAGAAATGTTTCGTCAAATAATCAATTCTTATTATTTACTTGTCCAATTTAATTAAAGAAAATAATATTATTTGAAACATTGATTATAAAATAATGATTATTGTTATTTGAAATAAATTTCGCCCATATTTGATTCAACGATATAATATTCAATAATATAATAACAGTTCATGTTAGTGAATCAATAGTTTATTAAGAAAATGTAGGAAAATTTGTTTTTATTATGCTTTAAAAAAATTCAATCTTCATTTATATCGAGTGTTTAAATCATTCAAAGAATCAATATATCAATGTCAAAAATTTTCCATCATCTTCAAAAGCTTCGTCCATTATTGAATTTATGAATTTTATATAATATTTACGATGATTCATTTAACTCTGCTATTTGAATTTACTTGTAAACGTGTAATTTTTCTGAATAGATGCAAATATCTTCAAAGTTATAGCATTAAATGCTAACGATGCAATTTTTCTGCGGCTTCAAGTGATCCACTTTTAAATATCTCAAAAGGAAAGAATCAAGTACTGTTGATAATTTTTTCAATATTTGATATGTTACTCGTGTAGAATATACATCGTGTTAATATTATTGTTAATACGATAAATGTGATAATAAAGATAATAATGTTTGAAATAAGAAGTTAAATGCACAATTCGACAAAAGTTTCATCAATTTTTATCGAAGAAAATATATATTTTTATTTCAGTTTTTAATGGAATCAGCAAATATAACAGATTACAATTAAAAAATTCAAGATAATAGCTCGATAAAGAAAATAGTTTGGTAAAATATAAAAAAGGAAATTCTTATATTTCCATTTTTCTTAATTTAGTAATGATGAATCTTTTTTTATTGAAAATTAGTTTATCTAAGAAAATATGACAAGCTAATTAAATAAAAATCAAGCAAATTTTTGTTTAATTTTTAAACAATTAAAGGACTGACGTTCTAGATCTATTTCTCGTTACTTTCTCAAGAAAGATTGTTCTCGCATATATTCGAAGATAGACTTGAAAAGCGTATTATGCAAAAACAGTAAAATAAATAAATATATATTACTAAATCATAAAATAATTTTATCTAGACTGTATTTAATGTTATCTCCTATAAAAATTTATATTTACATAAACATTTGCAATTCATGATAATCCAATCAAATAAATTAACATACGATCAATGATTAATATATTACGTCAAAGTGCAAAGATGTATGATATAATCGTTTATTGATCATAATAATAATACGCAAAATCAATAGATTTGCTGAAGCTATGTAACATTGGAAAGACAATAGAAAAGAACGTTCTAATAATAGGTACTAATATATAACAATAGAAGACAATAGCACTCCGTAGCAAATATTTGTTACTTATAAAATAAAATTGATAATAAGAGAAACTAGAGAAATTAATGATTATTATTACAATATGAAAAAATGCAACTTTTAAATAAACTTTGAATTTTGAACATTGAAAATGATTTATTCTTCAATGATACATGTGTTAAAACGTATAAAAAAATTGAAATATTTAATTGAACTTTTTTTTTTTAATTTATGCGCAATAAGACATTCTAATTATAATAGACTCAAGATTTTTATTAATAAATAATTATAATAAATTTAATATTGTCATTATTATATAATAGATATAATTAATAGTTGAATTTCGCATAAAAATAATTCAAAAATGAATTTGTCAATAGAAAAAATCAAGAAAAAAGAAATTTATGAATAGATAAAAAAATGATATACGATATAAATAATATAATAAAATAAAATATAATATTAGTTAATACAAATAATATAATAGTTTTTAATATTAAACTATTATTATAATTATATATTATATAATTTATAGTTGGAAATAAAATTTCTAACATGATATCTCGCAACTTTTGATATCACAAATCATTTTCTAAGAATTAATACGATTAATCTTAATTTTTTATTTAATTATTTTTATAGAAAATTTTAAACGCGTGTCTATTTCTGATATCGCAATATTTTTCTAATGATTGTAATATTTATTAATTATAATATTGATATTTAATGAATAAAGATGACTGAAAATCTATTGCAAATATTTGGAAAATATTAAAAATAATTTTTTTTTAACTATGAAAAGAAAAATCACAAATTATTAAGCTACCCAAATAAATAAGATAAATACTATACAAAAAATTGAGAAACACTACTACTTATTATACAACATTATACAACTTTATGCGTAGTTTTTCATTATCAGTTATGAATTAATTAAGTATTAAACATTATGACATACTTTATTTCATAATATTGGCAGATAATGATTACTACTATCACAATATAAACATAAACATAAATATTAACTTATTGCAAAATTTGTAAAATAATCTGAATGTACTATTTGAAACATATAAAATAGTAAAAATTAAAATTAGCCAAATATAATAGAAAAATATAAGAACATTATGATATGCCATAAAATAGGAATCATTAAAAGTTAAATAAAATAGGATATAACACATCTTATCTTGGATTAAGTAAATAGATAAAATTTAATATTTTTGTTCAAATATTATAATATTTATGTGTATATATATATATATATATATATATATATATATATTATAG